GCTTTGGTGTGTCTTTGAAAACTCTCCAGCGCAGGATTGCACGTTGGGGAATAAGGTAAGAAACACTGCTGTACAGTAGTGTTGTCACCCGATGCAGGCTGTCCTTAAAAATATAATTTTTCACTGACCGAAGGCATGCAACAGAAACCCCTATCTCTTATTTAGCCCACACCCTGACCTGGGCAGGTGTTCTGACGATTGTGCTACCCTGTCAGATTTTGCTATTATTTTGTAGCATAATTAGACGGATATTCTACTCTTGGAAAAATAGAATTGGGGTATTGTCAAGAGGAAGATGAGAGACACCAGACCCAACAATGCGGATGAGCTGAAGGCCGCTATCAAAGAAACCTGGGCTTCCATACCAACTCAGCAGTCCCACAAACTGATCACCTCCATGCCGCACTGATGCAGTAATTCATACAAAAGCAGCCCCTACCAAGTATTGAGTACATGTACAGTAAATTAACACACGTTCCAGAAGGTCAACAATTCACAGCAATTCACTAATTCACTTTTTTTATTGGTCTTATGAAGTATTCTAATTTGTTGAGATAGTGAATTGGTGGGTTTTTGTTAAATGTGAGCCAAAATCATCACAATTAAAAGAACCAAAGACTTAAACTACTTCAGTCTGTGTGCATTGAATTTATTTAATACACGAGTTTCACAATTTGAGTTAAATTACTGAAATAAATGAACTTTTCCATGACATTCTAATTTATTGAGATGCACCTGTATATCTTTGTTCCTCATGTGAAATCCTATCACCATGTGACACAATGTTATGAGGCAGTTTATATTATTATAACCTTTATTTACCAGGAAAAGAAGCACATTGAGATTAAAAATGTCTTTTACAAGAGTGTCCTGGCCAAGATCAACAGCAACACAACTCACATGGGTTTAACAGATAACATCCATCCATTCATACATAAATATACAAACAAGCAAGAAAACAAAAATAATACAATATACAATGAAAAAAGAATATTGATAAATAACTAGTCAGAACATCTGCAACCCCATATTATCTGTCTCCAAATTGTTTACAATTTTTTAAAAGATGTCCAATGAAACTAACCTAAGCTGCAACTTAATTTGCAAATAATTCTAGGCAGAGGGAGCAGCAAATTGAAATGCCTTTTCCCCAATTCAGTACGTACCACCGGAACAGACAATGAGAAAAATTCCTGGCACCTGAGGCTATAGCTACCAATATGTTTTTATTTTATTTTATTTTATTACAAATGTAGGTATGAGGATAGGAAGGAAGTAGACCCAGGAAATATTTATAAATAAAATATGCCAGTGCT